AAGATGGAAGGGGAAGGGATGACCTCAGCTTCCACCACTGGTTGGGTGAAAATGGAGTCCTCCGGGCCCTCTGGGACGGGGGGAAGGTTTGCAGGGGACTGGGGAAGAAGGCCAGAGACATACTTGGCCTTAAGGAGGAGGGACTTGAACATGTGCGGCTTGAACAGCCCCCCAAAAGTGGGTTGGTCGGGGGAAGTGCCCTCGTCCTCCGACATCTCCCCCTCCATGATGTCAGCCTCTAAGAGGGTTTCACTGTAGCGGGAGGATCCCATCTGGGAGTCCTCTTCCTCTTCCCTGAAATCCCCAAAGTCCCCTTCCTCCTCCACCTGGGCCCCAACCGGAGGAGGGCTGTCCCTCTGAGAGAGTACCTGATCAACCGGGGGGACCGGTTGTGGAAGGGATCTGATGGATAAAGAGTCGTGCTCGGAGGCTCATGGAGAGAAGCCTGATCTGGTCATGTGTTGTAGTCCCTCTGCAATGCTCTGGCGGATGGCTGATTCCATCCAAGCCCTGATGTGAGGCGGAACCTCGGAGGTAGAGGGTTCGTCCTGGCGCAGACCAGCAGCAGTGGGTGTAAAAGTGGTTGGAGGAGGAAGTATTGACGGCTCCGGGCGAGACTCCCTGAACGCCTGTCAGACTCTTTTTCCAACGCTTTGTGGTGCCTTGAGGCGTCACGTTGGGAGGCCTTGGAAGGTTCCTTGTCCTGTCTAGAGCCCTTAGGTTCCTTGTCCTGCCTGCGCAAGTAGTGGGACTTTGCCTTAGCCTTCAAGGAAGGACGTTTAGAGGGATTGTCGTCTGCCATGTTAGATAATAAATACTAGCAAGGGCGGTTGGCTCGCCCAGATCAGGCCTGGATGAGGCCGGGTGACGATGAAGCTGGCCCGCTCCCCCTTTTGGAATTTGTTATGTACAGAGATAACAGAAATATATATACTCTAATTTGTAATTTTTCTTCTCCCTTTATTTATTTTTATGTTTTATACCAGGTGAATATACAGGTTCTCCGTATACCTCTATATATCTATGAGAAATATTGATGTACAAAAGGAATTTTTTCTTTTTTTCTTTTTGTATTTGTATTTCACATTAGGTGACAATATGCAATACATTAGCTTCAGGAGCTATACAGCCCCTGGTTTTAAAAATATCATATTTTTTTTTTTTTTCAATGTCATTGTAACTTTGAACAGTCACTAAACAAGCTGCTGCAAATCAAGGATAATATGCATTGTAGCCACAGATTTTTCAATGGGATTAAAACCCTCTATCAGGAATTGAACTCTTGGTGTTTTTTGTTTTTTGTTTTTGAAATCTATATAAACAGTAACCGTAACAGGGAGAACTGTATCTCAGTACAGGCCAATCAGTCAAATAAACGCCTGAGGCCTAGAGTTGAAGAGAGGGCCTCTGGCAGCAGGCCTCCAGACAAGAAAAAGAAAACCGGAGGGGGGGGGCTGCAACTTCGCCCCGAAACGGGCTGCGGGAGGCCAACAAGTAATAAAAGAGCGGGCCAGGTGGAAGAGATGGGCAGCTAAGCTTTAACCCAAGGCCTGGAGCTCCAATTCACCGCAGCTAAGAATTTGAAAATGGCGCCCGACCACGATGCGGAGCCAAAATGGCGGCCGCAAGCTGAACCGTCGGGACGCCTTCGGGACGGAAAAGGAGGGCTTGCTGGTCAGCTCAGCTCCTAGGGCCCTAGGGGCGATGACCCTCCCGATCGGCGTTTAGGGTGGGGGGGAATCCAGCAATAAAAGAAATGCGTGCCATAAGGCAACGTGGAGGCAGCAACGCGATCTGATAAGGGTGGGGGGGGGGTCGCGCTATCGCGCTGCGAGCCCACAGCTTCGCCCCAGGGACGGGGAAATTTTTCCCTTAAGTCCAGACCCTTTGCGCAGGAGGAGGAAGGAAAGGCAAACCTTATGAAGACGAAGTTGGAATAGGCAAGAAATAGGCAAGAAATGTACGATCAGCCAAGGAGCTCTCTGAAAACACAGCCTGACTCTTCGAGGCTGAGCAAAAGACTGGGGAGACGCTGCGCAATACCACGTGAGGGGGCGGAGCGTTTCCTCATCTAAAGCTCAGCCTGCAAGAAGAGGACTCAGAAGCACATCCCAGTCTCTGGATGCTCCGAGCGGCTCGAGGGAGAATATCCAAGGACCCAGTGTGCCTTATTGTGTAGGGTTGGAAATCCAGTGGCCCCTTTTCTGTTTTGTGAAATCAATTTCTCAAATTCTCTGAGAGGGGTGCAGAGTAAACCGTAATTCTATAAACCTAAGGGGGGGGGGATTTTTTTTTTCAAAGTAATAAGTAGCAGCTGGATACCAAATCAAGAGATAACTTTTCTTAGGAGGGTTCCAACCAAGTCACTTAAAACACTAAAGGAACTGGTGCCTGGTGCAAATCCAACAGGTTTATAATAAATACAGAGGTTGGAAATGTCAAATAGATGTCAGAATGCAAACAGTTGAGGGTCACAAGGGAGACAGTCTGTTCTTATACCCAGAATATCTCGTGGCTCCAATTCCATGAATGTTTTATTCTATAGTAAGGGTCTTCCCTTCCTAAATGCCTTCTAACAGGGACTCAAATGTTATCTTTGCAGAACATTATGGAACCAATGAGGCTGCTACAGAGAGCTAAAAGAACGAATCTTCCAAGGACAATATACACCAGATGCCACACTTACACACAGAGCAACACAAAGTTTTGACACTTATTGGGGGCTGGGGGAGGAGAAAAATTAGTTCCCTTACTTCTATATTTTAACTCTGTTTATCTAATAAAGTTCTCTTTATTATTATTATACTAACTAGCTTAAGGAAGTCTGAAAGCCATGGCAGACAGTTTTATAGACTCAAGCACATTTTTTCCATTAGTTTATGTACACCCCTGGACCGAGCAGCACTAAAAACTTCAAAAGAAAGAAATGGCAGGGCAAACACAGGTGGACAATCCCCAGAGACTTAGCCAGTGAACAGACAAGGACAAATTAAGCTATATATATTCCTTTCTTCCAACATATAAACATTTGGAAACATTGTGCTTTAAGAAATAAACAGTACCTCAGATTGACCGCTGCCTAATCCCTTTACAAAACCCAGTCCAAATGTTACAAAGGACATACACACTTCTGACTTCTCTGAAGCTCTTTAGCAAAGAAAGTTCTGCAAAACCAGGAGAATCCTTGGAAAAGATTCTCTCTTTCAGCCACCAGATCTGCACTTTATATCTCAAAAACAGATCCTGCTGACTGTACCTGCTCAAACAATAAAAAGTTGCCAGATCTCAAAGTACCAGAAGTACTTTTTGAATGATTCAGGAAGAACAGAGAGTTTTGAAAAACATAGTAACTAATATTATGCATTTAATAAACAAACTCTGGAACAGTTGCAACAATATCAATTCAGTTGAAAAGAAAACCTCAAGTCTAATACAGTTGCAAAAAAAAAACAAAAAAAACATTTCTACCTCTAGGTTGGCTGAAACCCAAAGGTGGCTAACTTGCAAAGTGGGAAATAAGCCAATTAAAACAGAGTAAGAGATCAGAAGGCAGTAAAATTCAGATTTGCTTAACAAAATATCTCCATAAAAAGATGCTATTCTCTCCTCTCCCTCTCCCCTTCCCTCTTGAGGGCTATTCATTTCCAGGAAGTGCATTCACCAGAAGCAGGCAAAACAGAGACATGAACAGCTAATGCAACACCATCCCCTGCAGGATCTTCAAAGAAAATCCAGGGTTCTCTAGGCAATCTAGGAGCCCAGCTCATCCTCCACAGAAAATTCCAGAATCTACATCGTTTTGCTCTCTGCAGTGCACCTCTTTGTGATGAACCAAGGCACGTGCATCTAGCAGCAACAGGTTCTAATAAAACTCTTTCAAAAAATTATAAAAGGCCTCAATCCAAGAGTGGTAAATTCAGCAACTCTGCATCAGCAGCATTGCAATGCAGAAGAGGAGGAGGAGGAGGAGGAGGAGGTATACTTTGCCTTTTTAGGTTCTGGATAGTATCATCTGAACCTTGGTACTTGGATATACAACATTATTTAAATGGAGGGCATTCCTAGTGGATCCTGGAAGGAAAAAAATATAGATCAAGAGAGCAAAGGTGAAATATAAACACTGTAGCTGTTTCCCTTGGCAGCCTTGGAAATCAAGACACACACACACACACACACACAATGTTCTGCAGGAGCCGAAGTGCGAAGGGACACACAAAGAGTTGATCCAAGGCAAATTCCAAAGCTATCCAAACACCCCTTTGGGTGATGAATCAGCTCAATCCGTGCGCTGAATCAGAGCCACTTGACGCCTTTTTTTTCAAACTTGGCACTTTTGGGGTGCCCAGATTTTCCCACCCCTAACCCAAGGAGGGCAGGGCAACCCTGGGACTTGACGTCCACACATCTCACAGGTACCCAACATTGCATTAGAGGCATTGGGGTGTCTGGGGGAGGGGGAACCTCTGCACAGGAGGAAACACCGCAGAGTTGAGATCGCTTGTTCCACTGAACGGCATCTTGGCGTGATTCACACATCACAACTCGCCTATTAATAATTTTAGCACAGGATTTTGAAAAGGCCTTTATCGATTAATTTTTGAAAATGGACTTTTAAAGCCTGGCAGCTTGGTTTCCCCTGGCCTCTGGTTTTGTTTTTTGTTTTTAATGGAGAAATATTCTTTTTTTGCAACCCTCTTTCTTCCTTTGGTTTGTTCACTCCCCTGTTTGGAATGTTTAGCCGATAATGGCGGTTAAGCCATTTTTCCTTTGACTTCCCAAAGGTGCTTTTTCAGGAGGCAACTGGACTTTCCTCTTTTTCTTCGAAGACGTTTCGCTTCTTCAGCTCTGCAGAATCCCTGTTTCATTCTAACACCTGTTGCTTAAGGGCCTGAAACGATGGTTCCAGTGATAACAAAGGCACTTCCTATCTAACAAGAAGAATGGCCCGAGCAGTTCTTATTTTGGGACCCAGGTGTGGGGGGTAATCAAAGAAGACATACCTGCATCAGCTTCCTCGAGAGTTCGTTGGTGAGAAATTCCTCCTCCTTTTCATAATTCACGGCCAACGTCTCCTTCTCCTTCTGCAAAGCTTGAATCTTCTTAAACAAGGTGTTGCTGATGAATTCCTCTTCTTGCTCGGCTCGGGCTTGCTGGAAGAGAAACCACAAGCTGAGAGCCAGGCAACTGGTCTGGAAGGCCACCCTGTAACTTCCTCGGCTGATGCTCTGCTGCCACTCAACTAAACAAGACCGGGGATGGAGGGGGGAAAGAACGGGGGGACACCAAGAGATCTGCCCTGAAAATCCAAGCCTGATCTCTTTGCTGCCACCAGCATTGGACCTCATCCTGTCCATGGAGGGTCTAGGTCTGGGTCTCTGCTCTAGAGCAGGGGTCGCCAACCTTTTGGACCTCAGGGACCACCAAACTCATAATTTTAAATCCTGCAGACCAGAGACCCTGGGAAAATTCCCAAAAAAAGTCTGCAGGAAAATTCCCCACCCCGTTTTCCTACTGATCGATCATTCTTTATTTGGGATTGCAGGATACCGTCTCCAGCTCCGTTCTCAGGGAGAGAGAGAGAAACTTTTGGCTTCATGCAAGGAAAGCAGCAGAAGTCTTTCTTTCTCTCTCCCAAACTCCACCAGAAATGAGTCTTTTGAGACTTATCACACCGGCGCAGGCTCTTGGAGCAGGAGGCCTTGCAGGGTCCCAAAGACTCATTTCTGGTGGAGTTTGGAGGAGAGAAAGAAAGACTTTGGCTGCTTTCCTTGCGTGCAGTCAAAAGCAGCAGAAGAAAGAAGCAGCCTGGTGGCCAGGCAAGGTGCTAGGGTGAGTGGGGCAAGTTGGCCCCCCTCACCCCCCCCCCCCCCCGCCCTCACTACCTCATGTTGTTTGCAATGCAAGCGATGCAAGCCTTGTGTTCCTGCAGGCCATGTTGGCGGCACAGTCTTGTGTTCCCACACAGCCTGGATTAATTGCTTTGGGAGGGTGCTTTGAGGATGACATTTTTCTGGGGACCACCAAAATTTTCTTGTGGACCACCAGTGGTCCCCAGCCTACTGGTTGGCGACCACTGCTCTAGGCTGCCACGGAGGAAAGGTAGGGACCCCAGTGCCAGAAATGCTCTCTTGCAGTCAGAGTGCTTGACTCCAGAAATGAAGCCACACCAACCAACACAAGCCAGGATGGATGTGACTGTGAAAAGGATATTGTGGGGGGCGGGAGGTGTTTTCTGTAATACTCTTGACACAAACAGCCCATTTTTCAGCTTCAAGGCGTTCGTGGGCAGAGATTTGTTCCTGTCACTGCACTGAGCTTCCTGGGACAGACTGCAAATAATTTTAGCCATCGCTGATGCCGACCCTCCTATTCCTCAACTGCAGATCAGAACAGTCTCAGAGCCAGTCACTTGGAATAAAGTCATTCCCAACTGCCCATCGTGCTTGGCTTTAGTGTAAGCACCCCTGAGAGGGAGGTGGGAGGGATGAAGGGGATGAAAAAGAGAACAACCTACTCTTGGTGAACAAGAAGCCATCCACCCATCCTGGGCAGGATGAAAACACAGAGCAACCCAAAGAGTTTTCTTTTCTCTTTCCTCTACTCTTACAGGACCACAGACCTCACAGTCCTGAGAATAAAGTTCAAAGCAAACTTCGAAGCATGGAACAAGGGAGCCAAGCCGTGGCTTCCATGCAAAACCGCTCCACCAGTATCCTTTGGAGTTTACGACTTTCCTGGACTGAAGTGAATCTTATTGGTGCAACCATTCAACCTGCCAATCTGGTTTCGCCAGGCAATTGCAAAACGGATGGAACAAGGAGCGTAGAAGCACAAGGGTCACTCAACTCAGCCTAACTGTTGATTAGAGACAAAGCAACCCAACTGGCTAGAAAGGGAAATGTCGAATATAACGTGAGAACTCTCCACCTTCCCTGGATCTCACAGAATGCCTGCAAATGATCTCTGCGTGTTGCCAGCAGCTGGGAAAAAGAGATCGATGCCCTACAGCCTTGCCTTGAACTTGAGAAGGAAGAGCAGGCAAAAGATTAGGATCAAGAGAAAGGGATGGAGGCCAAGTTGACAGGACTGGATTTAAAGCGCTATTACGATGACAGCGGATTAACGTATGATTACCCCTCACATATTAATGATTACCCTGTTGAAGCACGTTCAAAAGCACAGGCCCCACGAGGTTGAGAAGAGCTCTGGTGAGGGGGTGCATGCAAGGGTGGGGAGAGGTACATGATGGGAAAGGACAGATGATGGATGGACGGACAGACACACAGTGCAAGAAAAACTAAGGTAACAGATTAACTGAGTTGGAAGGTCGGGGGTGTCAAACTCAACTTCATTGAGGGCCACATTAGAGCTGTGGTTGACCTTGGAGGAGGGGGGCAGGGGGACATGGTCAACTGGGTGGGCGGGGCCAGCTTGATGCCACTCCCCAAAATGCTGGTATGTTTCCTCTTCCCTATGGAAAGACCGGGCCGAAGCTATGCTGATCTGATCTTTCGCCTTCGCGTTGGGTAGACCAGGACTTTTGGGCCGGATCTGACCACACTGTGGGCTCTATCCAGCCTGCAGGCTTTGAGTTTGACACCCTTGTTATAGGTCATCTACATTCTATACCAGCCCCTCCCCACCCCTCCGGCCAAGCGGGAGACCCTACACCACCTCTGACAGAGGGCAGTCCAATCTCTTCTTGAAAGCCTCCAGTGATGAAGCTCCCACAATGTCCAAAGGCAACTTCTGTTCCATGGGTTGGTTGTTCTCACTGTCAGGAAATGTCTTATTTCCAGGATGAATCTCTCCTTGCTCAGTTTCCACCCATTATTCCTTGTCTGGCCTTCAGGTGCTTTGGAGAATAGCTTGACCCTCTCCTCCTCTCTGGGGCAGCCCCTCAAATATTGGAAGACTGCTACCATGTCTCCCCTGGTCTTTCTCTTCACTAGACTAGCCAGGCCCAGTTCCTGCAACTGTTCCTCATATGCCTCCAGTCCCCTAAACTAAACTAGAACCTAGTATGTGAAAAACCTTTAGAACAAAAGTCTTCAAACTTGGCAAGTTTAAGACTTGTGGACTTCAACTCCCAGAATTCCTGAGCTAACATGATTGGAGGAAGAATTCTGGGAGTTGAAGTCTACATGTCTTAAAGCTGTCAAGTTTGAAGACCCCTGCTTTAGAGAATGCTGGAAAAGTTGGTTCCTCTGCTGAACCATTATGACCCGTTGCTTCAGGAAATGGTTAACTGGAACCAGACCACAGCTGACTCCGTTGTTAGTTTTTTATTTAATCTTCTCTTTGGAACTCACATCCAAGATCTTCAAGTCTGGAATACCCTGGTCTGGAAGATTTAGTTTTAGAAAAGTAGGAGAGCAATTTCAGAACAGCTGTGTGTGTGTGTGTGTGTGTGTGTGTGTGTGTGTGGAGGAGGAGGAGGGGATTGGACACTCTGCACCCCTTGCTGGAAGTAAACTCTGATTCACACAAAGCCAACATTTCTCTTAAGCTTTGTAAGACATGTACAATTCATATTATGATTTGCTGTCAGCTGCAGAGAAGGTCATTCTGACATTTTCCACAAACCATAACTTTAAAATCCTTGGCTAGCACTACATGCAGCAGTACAGAGAACAGAACTCAGCATTTGATTGCAATTATGCATCTGCCATCTTTTTTTAATTCCTTCTTATGGGTGGAGAAGTGGCATAAGTACCATTAATCATCCATGCAGAAAAACACACCTCAGGAGAAGCAGCGCTGGAAAGCTATCAGAGCTCCAAGGAGGCGGCCCCTGACATCAAATCTCGTGCAGGGATTCGGGCTGCCACTATCCACAGCCCATCGCAATCTCCTTGACGGTTGTTCTTGCAAATTTTCACACGTTTCACTTCTTTACAGAAGCTGTGTTGGTATCTCATAGAAAGACATTTTATTGCAGAGATTGGATTGTTACTAAGCCAGCCTTCTTTACCCAGATGGGGCAGGAGGACCGTTCTGGAAGCAGAAGTGCCACATTTGGTGCATGCAATCATAGGAGATCAATACTTATGAAATTCTGTGTGATGACCCAAAGGGGCGTGGCACAAAGGCAACACAGTCACATAAGTAAGAAAAGTCCCTTTAGTACCTCCAACTTTGCCCCCAATGTCCAGGTTACCTTCGGCTGGAGAAAAAACTCTCCTAAGAACAGCCTTTAAGTGGAGGAAATTCAGTCTGAAAACAAAGTACATACAAACTGGAAATAAAAATCCACACAAACCACGCTGGAACAATTGACTGGACAGGGCAGGAGAAGGAATTTCAGACTTGAAAGGCCAACAAAGCACACACAGTTGGGAAGACGCCAGGAACCCAGATAAGCCTTGACCACATAATTCACGACTTGCTGCCAACAACTTTACTGTGCACAGCTTCCCTTTTTAAACACTGTGTTCCCAGCTGCAGCTAATGAAGGGAATCAGGGCCCTTTCCTCCCCCGTAAGCCACGCAACTCACGTTGCTCCCTTCTCCGTTCCTCCCTGTGTGCCCTAGGATGAAGAGAGGATGGGCCTGGGTCTTCCTCTGAATTCCCTCTCCCTTGTACTATCTCTCCCCTGCTCTGCCCAGCCGGTCTTTAACCTTCCCCAGTTTCTTCCACAGCCACCGGAGCCACACTCCCACTCCCTGTCAGCTGCTCGGCCTACCCCTCCGAATCGAATTCCGACAGGGGCATGACATTCTGGAAGACATCAGGGAGCATCAGGCTTTTCCATCAGTGGCTTGTGGCACCCAGGAAGCCTTATTTTAAAAAGAGAGCCACTCTTACTGAGTAACAAAACGTAAGGATTTAAGAATGCTGGCTGACTTGGAGTGGGGGTGAGGTTTATTCTGCGAGGCCCAGCGGTGAATCCTGCAAGAGAAGAAAGGCTGGTGGGGAGGCCTGGCATCAAGAAAATTGGGGGGTGGCTTCAAGTCCTCTCCCAAAATCAGGCAAAGACATTTGAGCTGAGAAGGAGGTGGAGAATTTTAAATCCTGGGCCAAAGAACCAAGGATCTCAAAGGATGTTTACTGCGAATCTCTACTTTCCAAAACGCAGCCTCAGACCTCAAAGAGGCAGGAAAAACTTGACAGTCTGGCTCAGTGAGTCTGGCAACGGAAAGGTGGCAC